CGTGCGGAAGAGACAGAGCGGTCACGACGAATTGCGATCGACAATAAGGAGGAAGCGGGAAGCGACCGAGCGGGAGCGGGAGCGGGAGTGAGAGCGGTCGGACTAGGCTCCACCTCTAACATTCCCTACTGATCCTCCCGTTGTTGGGCACTTCCCCTGCAGGTTTTAGCGCTAGCTGCCCAGTAGCTTTCCCGACGACAGTTTTCTGAAGGTTGTTATCGTTGATCCTTCCGGCAGGTGTTTCCGGCCACCCGATCTCCCTCAGGGACTACCCGAGCACCTTCCTGCACCCAGATCTATCCCCTACAAGACCTCATGTCGCCGGTTCTCCCTCTGCAATCGAATTCTTTCTATGTCTCAGTATCCCAACCTTACCTTTGGCTCAATCGGGATGATGACAAACTCCACCACCGAGCCTCCTTCCGACTATGTACTTGAAGCCTACTGGAAGTTCAACATCGACCTGAATCCCTCCGCAGACCGAAGGATCTAAAAATCAAATGAACTTCTTGATCGCCACTCATAAACTTAATGGCTCTAATTTCCTCCAATGATCCCAAGCTGTGTCATTATTCTTCAAAAGACGGGTGATATTCAGCCATCTCACAGGTGTGATTCTGAAACTCCGACGACTCACCCGACGTATGCAGTGTGGGAAGTGGAGAATTTCATGATCATGTCATGATTGATTGATTCCATGGAGACTTCGATTGATCGTTCGTACCAGTTTATTCCATCTGCAAGTGTCATCTGAAGGATAGTTCGTGATACCTACTCTAATGTAGGGAATTCTAACCAGCTCTACAATGCTTCAAAGAAGATTTGTATGGCGAAACAGAGATTAAAGAAAGTGACTCAGTACTACACTGACTTGATTTCCTTATAAATGAAATGTTTTCTCTGCTACGACTACAAATGGGACTCTCTGGGTCATCTTTCACTCTGTTAAAAAATTGTGGAAAAGGATCATGTGTTAGAATTCCTAACTGACCTAAACAACAATCTTGACAAAGTCCGAAGCCACATTTTTGGTAGGGATCCCCTTCAACTCGGGCAACCTTCCGTCT